CAATTCCAACTTGAATTTTTGTCTCAAATAACGTCTCGTGACACTACAATTTTTTTGGTTACTGAATCATAGAGTCAATATGCTTTGGTTCCTGGTTCCATTCTAAAGTACACTAGCATGCCATAAGCGTCCTTTATTGCTAAGTTGGCTATGTAGACATACTAGTTTCCCAATTGTAATTTTAGCTTTGTAAAACCTATTTAGTGATCTCTTCACTTTGAATATGAGTGAGTTTTGACTATCATATAATAGTAAATAGTCGTTCTTCATGGTGACTTCACATTTGCTTTCCGTTGCATGGCCCAAACTTATTATCTTTACTTTAAGTTTTGGAATATAATAAACATCGGTAAGTAGTTCTTGTTTGCCACTTTCTCCTTCAAAGAGTATAGGCCATTTGCCTTGAATCTCGACCAATGGATCATCACCTAACTTGACTCTTCCTCCTATTCGTTTGTTGATTTCTGTGAAAAACGATAGGTTTCCCGTCATATGGTTACTAGCTCTATTATCTGGATACCACATGTCTATGTCAGTATCTTTTGATTCGTATCTACTTGGTATTACGCGATCTCCATTTAGGAGTACAGTTTCATAAAGAGTCTTGTACATAAACAAAGTGGTTCATGTTCTTCCCCTTCGGCCATATGAGCCTCGTTTTGTTTTGCTTTTCGTTTGGGACATTGTGAAGAAAAATGACCAAATTTATCACATCTATAACATTGTACTTTAGATCGGTCTTTATTCTTACCTTTTGATTTATCGAAGTTTTCGTTGATGGTGTAACGGAATGATTTTGCTATTGATGTGAATTATTATCGCAGCCTCCACCTCTATGACCAACATTCCCTGCTCCTCGGCTACCTCTTCCTCCTCGGTTCGAGTCCGAGCCGCAGTTTGATGTTTCGGTTTTGTGAAACATCAATTTTCTTTGATCACTCTCCGGTTCAACTTCACTAATGTGTTTTTCATAAGCTTTTAAATAATCGACTACATCTTTGAATCCAACTATTTTGAGATCGAGAACTTGTTCAATCGAAGCAACGATATGAATGCATCTTCTCGGCAAACTGGTAAGGAATTTCTTGATGAGTTTGCTTTCGCTTAGGGTTTCACTAAGGGATGCAAATTTCAATGAGATGTCTAGCAATTGGCTTGCAAATTAATCGTTAGTGCTTGATTCCTTCATCTGTAAGTTATCAAACTCGGTGATTAGAGTTTGTAACCGTGATTTTCTTACCCTATCTGTGGCAAGGCGACGAGTTTTAATGGCATCCCAAATATCACTCTAACTTTCAAAATAAGGTCTTCGGGAATTTCTTGGAAGAGAGCTGCAATAACGATGTTATCCTTCACCGGGTCATTTGCTCCTGGATCGAAGACATCCCAAAATTGATGTGCATTTGAGATCACCTTCAATGGATTGCCCATGTGGTGTAATTTGTTGCTGACAGCATCGAAACATGGAGCGACAATGATAGACCTTCATTTGTTATGGGCATTCTTGGATCCACTGGTACCGTCATGATTAGCAGATCACTCTGATATTATCTAGCTCTGATACTAATTATTGTAAATAATTGGCAAAATATGAAAATACAAACACAAAGAAACAAGAGTTATACTTATTATAACAACGAAACTATCTTAAAACTTTGCTACAATCAACTCTCTGTAACTCTGTTGTCTAAATAAAATATATATAGCTAACAGTAGAATCCTACTTGATTACAAATTGACGTAAATAAAACTTACTTGTTCCCAAAGCAACCAGTTTGCTTGAACTCTAAGCATCCTCTTAGAATTCCTTATTGCCCAAGGAATGATCCTCTTCCTACACCTCATCGTGTATGGAAGGGTAGTTTTGGAAATTGTCAATAAACATTTCAAAACATGAAGCTAAACCATTCCAAAAACTATGCACACAACACCCATACAGATTAATTTCTTTCTTCCTTCCAAAACTTTTCCAAGCAACAACTCAAGTCAATTCATGAAAATGGCAATGTACTTTGAAATTCGGTTCTCTTTGGTTTGGAACCAAAAATATGATATCGATACCAGTACCATACATTCCTATTTGATTTGGCTATCGGTCGCTGTAAATGAAGATTTGATTTTGGTTTTAGGTTCTGGAACCGATATCATCCCCATATCACACTTATTTATTCCAAAATCATTAGATAAAAATGTATTGTCAAATTTATCATGTCATTGTAATGGAGCCTATTTTAGTCAATAAAGTGATTTGACTAATTTGCAAATTTTATTTTCTTGACATTTCACTAAAAATCCTTCAAGCCAATTCATGTATATTTATAAGGTTTGTAAAACATGATGTAACACCTCGTTTAGTAGATAAATAAATAGATAAAGATTTATATATAAGAATAATAACTTAAATGCGAAATAATGTAGCAAGGAGTTAGTTTTGGAGTTAAGATGTAATTTCCGGACTAATTTGTGAAGAAATTTGATAGTTGGGGGTTGCTTAGTAAGTTACGGAGTTTAAAAAATAGTTTAATGGTTCAATATGACCAAATGACAAAGTGCATGATTCATCATTTATGATTTATCAATCCTACAATTTTTTTTTGCTAATTAGAAGGTAGTAAGATGTATTTTTAACTGAACTAATCAAGGTTCATTTATTGAAACTTACTTTGAAAATTGAATTAGCTTCAAGAACATATACCCCAATCTTTTCTATGATAACATAGATCAGAGGTAATGGTTCAAATAATAAGCTTTCTTCCTTTTAAAACAAAAACCCAGTTACAGACTTAACAGAAATCATGATTCAAGAAGCTATGAACCCACAATCTGAATTTGAAACCATATGAAGATAAATAAAAGATGACAACTCTCGAAAAGCACAAACTTTAAATAGTTACCAAAGAGAAAATAAAATAATATTTCAGAACTTTAAGCTATTTGTTTTACATGGGCGGGTGCAAAACATCTAAAATAGAACTAAAATTCAAGAATAGGGACATCATCAACTCCAAGCTGCATAAAAGTTGAATCAGATTAAATACAACGTACACAAGTGGCAATGAATCAAATAGCTGAAGAACACATACAACTTTAGCTTCCTTGAATTCAGTCACGGCTTTGTGAGAAGCATTTGAGAACACCACATCAAGGCCCAAATCAAGAATAACGTAATGGTTGTGTATAAACAATAGTTCATGGCGTCAAAATGGGATTATGTGAAGGAATAGAGAAATAAGAACATGAACAATGCAACTTACTAATTTATGTCAAACCACTTGGTCATTTCCTTAGCAGGGACAGATTCTTCTCGTCTTTCCACCCCAAAACGATTCTAATGCAAAATTCAGCTCTCGTTTACAACAAAGGGGGAGTGATATATCAGTTTGTGTGTGATGCCTGGCGGCGATGATGGAGCCACTTTAGGGTTAGGGTTTCCAGTAAACGGTGCGTGACGGTGGCAGCGAGATAGACTTAGGGTTTGTCATTTCGAATTCAAGTAGAAGCGGGGCGGTAGGGTGTCGTCGGTGGAGGTAATGGCGGCATCAGGACGGTGGAGGTAGCGACTATGTCAGGAGGCTGGTCGCTACGAATACTTTCTGGAGACAGAAAATGGCAGATCCGCGGCTGAAGATTTGTAGAGGATTTTAGGTTTTCCACGTAAAGAAATCTAAGACCTTAAATGAGAGAGCATGTCCATTTACATTGCAAGCTTAGTAAGCTTAGTAAGATTGTACATGTTGTTATAGCAGGTGTACCTCTTAATTTTCAAGAAAGAGGCAATATGCTTAATAATATATATATATATATATATATATATATATATATATATATATATATATATATATATAGATGATGGATTTATTGTAAAAAAAATATTGGTGTAAACAATAAAGGAAGAGCAAAGAAACAAAATGACTATGGTTATAAAATGTCAATACCTCAAAGGAAAAAGAAGATGGGGGATATAAAATGTCAACTACTTATTTTTTGGTATAATTGCATTACTAGTAGGGCGAATTAAAGGGGTGTTTATTTTATCTTTTTAAAATCTTTTAATTTTTAAGAAAATATAAAAAACTAAAAGATGTTTGGTAAAAACAAAAGATATTTTAAAAGCTACTTTTAGATAGAAGGAAAATGAAATTTTTGAAAAAATCACATAAATCTGATTTTTTGCAATTTTTCTTAAAAGAACTTTTGCCCTCTTAAAAGCTAAACCAACCACCCCTAATACAACCAATCAGAAATAAAATCTCCTATATATCTTAATAAGGGTATACTTGTAATTCCATTTTTAATTTCATTGGCTTAATCAAATTCTTCCTTGGAAGAATTAGCGCCCTTAAATTAATGGGATACGAGTTCAGGGCCGGGGCAATATTGGCAATGCTTGAAGACCGTATGCCTCGTAAGTCGTACCCTTCATCCCCAAGCAATCCCGACCAAGACAACTCCAATTTAAACCCCTTAGCCTATAAAAGCCGAGCCTAGAAACTTGTGTGCACGGCATTTGATAGAATCGTCCTGTAAGTATCACTCTTTGATTCTTGGTTGCTAGCCTCTCGAATTCCATACGTATATACGCACACACATATATAGCATGTTTCTTCCTTGATTTTTCTGAACTGAGTGTGCTATACGTATGCACTGTCTTGGGAGGAATACCATCTGTGGGGTTTGATATATAAAACTGATTTTGGTATTTAGAGATCTGTTTGTTTCTAGTTCTCAATCGACTTTTATTATTTAATGATATAAAGGATTGGATTGTTGAAAGTCAAAACTGATTACGTTTGTTATATAATGGTTGTTGACCCACTCAAAGTCAAAGGCTTTAATGGTTGTTTGTGTTGTTGACAATCTTTTGGATGGTCAAAGTCAGAACGAAGTTGAGCCACTACAAATTACATAAACTGTTTTTGTTTCCATTATAGCGATACATCTTTGGTGTTTGATTTTATCTGTGGGTTTGGTCTTTGGTGCACATATCTTTTTTTTTTTTTTTAACCATGTCATCATCATACCAGAAGGAAAGAAGGAAGGTGAAAGCATGTTGGACATAAATCTATTTAGGGAGGAAAAGGGCAACAACCCGGAAATTATAAGCGAATCTCAACGTCAACGGTTTGCAGATGTAGAGATTGTTGATGAAATTATTCATCTTGACAAGAAGTTGCGAAAACGTAAGCTTCATTTTGATTAATCTTTGTGTTTATAACTTTATATTACGTAACACAGGAAGCAGGATTTACAATGTATGCACAACTATTTTTAAATTTTGATTTGCAGGTCAATACAAGCATGAACAGCTGCTCAAAGTCTTTAACAATATCAACAAAGAAGTGGCTAAACTTAGCATTGTAAGTCTTTTGTTTGTTTTCACATGGTCCCATGTTATATATTGAAAATCTTGTCTTCCATTAGCATAACAAACTTATAGTCTATATATAACACCAAATTCCAAAATTTGTTTCTTTTGAAGGCCCGGGGAAGATGCAAGTTCCAAGATTAAAAATACAGAGGAAATCAAGGACTCAATTGCAAAGAAAGGTGCTAAGGTTCAGGAGGCCCGTGCAACATTATATTCAAAATTGAGCATGGTTGGGAATCTCGTGCATGATTCAGTTCATGTTAGCAATGACAAGGTGGACATTAATTATTTGTTTCTTTAAATAGATTAGTAGTTCATAATTAACATTCATCATCTCTTATTTACTAATGATAAATTAATTTAGGCAAATAATGTTGTTGTTCGGACATGGGGAGAGAAAAGAACAGAGCCAAAACTAAAAAATCATGTCGAGCTTATGGAACTTCTTGGAATTGCTGATCTAGAAAATGGTATTATATTACAATTTATTTGATTGCAGAAATTATAGGTCTACTGCCTCTTTATTTATTATTTATATTTAGGTGCTAAGATAGCTGGCAAGGGTGGTTTTTGTTTATTAGGCGATGGTTTGCATCTAAATTTAGCTCTTATAAAGTTTGGTCTTGATTTTCTGGAGGAAAGGGGTTTCACATCATTACAAACTCCATCGTTTATGACGGAAAATATAATCGGAAAGTGTGCTCATTCAGTCCAATTTGATAAAGAGCTTTACAAGGTTATTAATACAATACGCCTTCAATTTTGTGGAAAATATTCAAGGTTACATTTTTATTCTTTTTTTTTTTTTAATAGGTGACAGGTGAAGGTGAGGATAAGTATCTGATTGGTACCACTTCACAACCACTTTGTGCTTATAACATAGATGGCCGGGTTCATCCAACAGAGCTACCAATAAGGTTACTTTATATTACCCTTTTTATGGTCTTAATTTTTATGTACGTAGAATAGGTAATTAAAGGGTTGGTGTCTGAATACATTAAGCTGTGATTTTTGGCTTAACTCATTAAGAAATAAAGAAACATCCATACATGTAGTTGTCCTGGTTAAGTGCTTAACCTGTTAAGTTAAGCCCATTAAGTAAACAAAACAACATTCTATTAATGTTAAAAAAATTATCAGACAGGTGGGATATTCAACTTGTTTCCGGAAAGATGCTGGCTCAGATGGAATATTCGACGCTTCTCAGTGTGAGAAAGTTGAACAGCTGTGCATCACCAGCCCAAATGGCAATGACTCATGGGACATGCATGAGGAGATGATAAAAAACTCTGAGGAGTTTTATCAAATGGTAATTATTTTTTCACCATAGACACACAAGTATTTTTTAATTAAATATTTAATCTTACGCAAATTTTGTGCTGCAGTTGAAACTGCCATATCATATAGTGTCTGTAGTCTCTGGTGCCCTAAATAACGCTGCAGCAAAGACGTATGATTTGGAAGCATGGTTTCCTGCTTCTAATAATTACAGACAATTGTTGTCGTGTTCAAACTGCACTGATTACCAGTCGAGAAAGTTGGAGCTCAGATTTGGGCAGAAAACGGTTGGTTTTTGTGAATTTATTTTATTATTATGTGGTTTTGCAGAGCAATGAACAAATGAGGCAATACTGCCATTTATTGAATTGCACACTCACAGAAGCAGAGTAAACCATGTGTTGCATTCTTGAGAATTACCAAAGGGAGGATGGTGTTGAAGTGCCCAAAGTGTTACAGCCATATATGGGTGGAAAGACGTTCATGCCTTTTCAAGCTCCTCCTGCTGATAAAGAAACAAAAGCTACTAAGACTCAGAATCAAAATTTTGTGCAGCCCACAGGTACTCAGACTCAGTCCCTCTTCCATCGATTTCTTTTTTAGTATACATTAGATTATATATAATTATTGTATTCTAATTTTATAAACCTCAAAGTCCTGATTCTGGGATGTTATAAAACTTCTATGATTTTGTAAGGTCACAAGTTTGGAGCAAACAGTGGCGGAGCCACTCTTGGTGAAGTGGGGTGTATGACCCGATTTGGAGTGACTAAACCTTTTATATACATCTAATTTCTTTGCAACTATAGTTATTAAATATATGATTGGCCCCCACTTTACAAAAAGACAGGCATCATATGCATCAAGAAATAACAATTTCATTCATTTTTAGCCTAATCTAGTGCCGGTGTGCTCAAATACGCTAAGAAAACAAGTCGGATGCAACCGGGAAGTCACCGGAAAACACTCTCGAAAACTGCTACAGTTGCCGATAACTACTCGAAACTACTTAAAGTCATCGGAAAACGCTCCCACTAGCGGACCCCAGTTGACCTTCGCGGCCTGGATCCGCCACTGGGAGCAAAGTAGTAATCAATACAATATATGTGATCATATCTATATTTATTTAATCTTTAGGGATGCATTTCACAATAAAGGAAAACACAAGTAATCAAACTATCTCTTTGATTAATAGGAAAATCATTCAAAACCTATATTGTTTTCTGTACAAACCATGACTCGGTATATATATATATATATATATATATATATATATATATATATATATATATATATATATATATATATATAAACATTCCTAGACTACCAACTTGTAGAATAAGATTAGGAGACTAAAACCGACTTGCTTAAGCCCCAAGATTCTTGGACTTCAAGTCCTACGTAACTTAGAATTCCAACAATCACCCCCGAATCTCTAAGTTCTTCTAGAGAATTCTTCAATCCCGATCAAGCTCCGCATTTCCTTGAACTTGGTTCGAGCTAGTGGTTTCGTAAGAATATCTGCCCTTTGTACTTCACCGAGAATGTATTCCACCTCCACTTGTTACCTTTCGACGCAATTACGAATGAAGTGAAACCTCGTGTGAATGTGTTTACTTCTTCCATGAAAAACGGGATTCTTCGTTAGTTCGATAGCCGACTTGTTATCAACTCTAAGAATCACTTTCTCTTGCGTTTTGTTCATGATTTCTCCAAGCAAATCTTGAAGCTATATTGCTTGACATGCGGTTGCCATGGCCGCCATGAATTCCACCTCACAAGATGATAAAGCAACGGTATCTTGCTTTTGCGAACACCATGTAATTGGAGATGACCCATAGTAGAAAATGTGACCGGTTGTGCTTCTTCCGTCATCCGGGTCAACATTGTGACTACTATCACTATAACCAATAAGTCGCCTTTGTGCCATCCTCTCGTACTTAATTCCGTCCCGTTACCACCTTTCGATATTGTGTCGGGTCGATTTCGGGTTCATCTTCAGCCTTTGACAATTTATTTTCTGGTTCCATTGGTATGTGGGTAACCGGCTTCTTTTAAAATGCGTAGAGCATATGCTTCTTGGTTTATAGTAATCCTCGATTCTTCTTGCTTAACTTCAATGCCAAGGTAATAAGTCAATCTTCCAAGATTCGACATCTCAAAGTTCTTGGACATCTCTAATTTGAACCTCTTGATTATGCTCAAATTTGTACCTGTGACAAATAAATCATCAACATAAATTGCTATAATTAGCAAGTTAGATCCTTCACATTTCCGGTACACCGATGGTTCTTTCATTCACTTTTGAAATTTCATACTCTTCAAAATCCCATCAAGCTTCATGTTCCATGCTCGAGGTGCTTGTCTTAAACCATATAGTGCTTTTCTAAGGCGATATACTTTATGCTCGTTGCCTTTCTTTATATAGCCTTCCAGTTGTGACACGTAAACAGTTTCTTTTAGTTCTCCATGTAAGAACGTTGTTTTAACATCCAAGTGGTGAAGCTCCCACCCATGAGTAGCTGCTAAGGCTATAAGAAACCGAATGTTTTCGATTCGAGCTACCGGGGCAAATACTTCTTGGAAATCAATATCGGGTTGTTGCACGTAACCTTTAGCAACCAGCCTTGTCTTGTATTTATTAATGGTGCCATCTGCATTTTTCTTCAATTTGAACACCCACTTGAGTCCAATTGGCTTCACCCCCATAGGCTTGTTCACAAGAGTCCAAGTATTATTTTTGTTTATCGACTTGATTTCCGCATCCATGGCCTTGACCCATTCTGGTTCTTTCTTCGCTTCTTCAACCGATTCTCCCAAAGCCGCTGATTTGGATGCGATTCCGGACAGCTTTCCGGCAAAGCTGTCGATTGTTTCTGACTCGAGCATCTTCAGGCGATCAAATTCAACGTTTAGGGTTTGCAATCAGGCTTCTTTCACATGATCAGCACCTACGTATCTTGCTTTGATAGCATCCCAGAGTGCTGTGGCAGTCTCCACATCTCCGATTTGCATGATCAAGCTCTCTGGTATCGCCTGATAGAACAGCCCTATTGCAAGATAATATTTCTCTTCATTCTTTTCTGTTCCCGGATCAATTACACTCCATGCCTTATGAATTCTTAAGACTACCTTCATCCTCAGTGACCAGACCGTGTAATTTGTGGAATTGAGCATGGGACATTGTACTGAAGTCGATCCGGTTTCTTTCACATTTACCGGAGCAGGTCCTCCGTCGCCCCCTGCATCAGCTATGTTGACCTAGCTTGTCAATAGGTTAGAATTTTGATCTTACAGCTTCTTGACTCAAGCTCTGATACCAATTCACGATAAAGGAAAACACAAGTAATCAAAGTATCTCTTTGATTAATAGGAAAATCACTCAAAACCTATATTGTTTTCTGTACAAACCATGACTCGGTATATATATATATATATATATATATATATATATATATTATATATATATATATATATATATATATATATATATAAAACATTCCTAGACTACCAACTTGTAGAATAAGATTAGGAGACTAAAACCGACTTGCTTAAGCCCCAAGATTCTTGGACTCCAAGTCCCACGTGACTTAGAATTCCAACAACATTATCTTTGGTGTTTGATTTTATCTATTTTTTTACTCTTTAACCATGTCATCATCATACCAGAAGGAAAAAAAGAAGGAGAAAGCATGTTGGACATAAATCTATTTTGGGAGGAAAAGGGTACCAACCCAGAAATTATATGTGAATCTCAACGCCGCAGGTTTAAAAATGTAAAAATTGGTGATGAAATTATTCATCTTGACAAGGAGTGGCGACAACGTAAGCTTCATTTTGATTGATCTTTGTGTTTGTATTATTACATAACTCAGAATGCGTGATACAACCATTTGTTTCATTCTTCATATTTTCATATGCAGGTCAAACTGAGCTCACACAGTTGCATCAAGACTTGCACAGGACTGTAAGTCATTTTTTTTAGTCATTTCATGTTTAATTGGAAAGTCTTGTCCTCCATTAGCTTGATGAATTTATATTATATATGACAATTAAATTGCAAAATTGATTCTTTTAAAGGCCGGGAAAGGGGAAACCAAGGACCTAATGGCAAAGAAAGTTGTAGAGGTTCAGGAAGCCCGTTCAGCATTATGTTCAAAATTGAGCAAGGCTGGAAATCTTGTGCATGATTCAGTTCCTGTTAGCAATGATGAGGTGGACATTAATCACATCATTTTTTTTCTTTAAATACATTGGTAGCTCACAACATTCATCACCTCTTATTTACTAATTATATATTTAGGCAAATAATGTTGTTGTCCGAACTTGGGGAGAGAAAAGAACGGAGCCAAAACTAAAAAATCATGTCGAGCTTGTGGAGCTTCTTGGAATTGCTGATCTAGAAAAAGGTAATTATATTAAAAATTATTCAATCGATAAAAATGCAGGGTTAATGCAGCTTTATTTATTCTAGGTGTTAAGGTTGCTGGTGGTAGAGGGTATTGTTTGAAAGGTGCTGGTTTGCATCTAAATCATGCTCTTATAAAGTTTGGTTGTATTTTTCTTGAGAAAAGGGGTTTTAAGTCGATTAAAACTCCATTCTTTATGGTGCATGATATAATGGAAAAGTGTGCTCAATTAACCCAATTTAACGAAGAACTTTACAAGGTAATATCAATACAATAATCCTGCAGTTGTGTGGAAAATATTGAAGGTCACAATTTTTTTTTTATATAGGTAACAGGTGAGGGAGATGATAAGTATCTGATTGCTACTGCTGAACAACCACTTTGTGCTTATAACATAGATAAATGGATTCATCCACAACAGCTACCACTAAGGTTACTTAAATACCCATTTTACACTTATATTTGTAAAAGCAATTTTCACAATGTGAGAGGAGTTGAAAGGGAAAGAAACATTCTCATCCTTTTGGCTTAACCCATTAAGTAAAAAAGAAACATCGATGTATTAAGTGCTTAACCTGTTAAGTTAAGCCCATTAAGTAAAAAAGAAACATCCTCCCATATTCTCTTTTTTGATGATTGATGTTGAAAAAATTATCAGATATGCTGGATATTCATCTTGCTTCCGGAACGAAGCTGGCTCACATGGTCATGACACTCGTGGACTCTTCCGTGTTCATGAGTTTCAGAAAGTTGAACAGTTCTGCATCACCAGCCCAAATGGAAATGAATCGTGGGACATGCTTGAGGAGATGATAAAAAACTCTGAGGAGTTTTATCAAATGGTATTTATTTTTTTCACCATACATAGATGCAAATATTTTTGACTAACATCTATTGTATGTAAATTTTATATTGCAGTTGAAATTACCTTATCGTGTAGTCTCTATCGTCTCTGGTGCACTAAATGATGCTGCAGCAAAGAAGTATGACTTGGAAGCATGGTTCCCTGCATCCAGCACTTACCGAGAACTTGTCTCTTGTTCAAATTGCACTGATTACCAGTCAAGAAAGTTGGAGATCAGATTTGGGGAGAAAAAGGTTGGGATTTCTGTTTTCCATTAATTATTGAATAGTATTTCTTTATTTCATTATTAAGTGGTGATGTGTTGATTTTGAGTTGTGCAGAGCAATGAACAAACAAAGCAATATTGCCATTTATTGAATTCTACACTCACAGCAACAGAGACGACTATCTGTTGCATTCTTGAGAATTACCAGAGGGAAGATGGTGTTGAAGTCCCTGAAGTGTTGCAGCCGTTTATGGGTGGGAAGAAATTCATCCCTTTCCAAGCTCTTCCTGTTAAAGCAACAAAAGGAAAGAAATCAAAGTAGTTGCTTGAAAGTGTGTTACTACTTTCTTATTGGTTCCACAAATACTTAATTTTTGTGGTTTTTTTAGATGATAGACTTTTAGATGTTAGTGGTAAAATTGTGTGTCTTTTAGTCTTATTGAAACTTGTCGTTTTGGATATGCTGGATGATTTAAAAAGTTTCATCGTCTCAATACAGCATCTTAACTTTCATTTCTAATAGTTATTTTTTTTATAATTTAATTTAATTGTTTTTTCTTTTCTTCTTCAAGCTTTGTACTTTGAACGTACATGAAGTATATGTCGAAATTTATCTAGAACAATTCGAGCGTGCCGAAATAAATTAATGGGTAGAAACAATTCGACCAGTTTAAGACAAAAGACTTATTTTATAGAGATGTGGGGAAGTGATCGCCGATTTGGTGAACATGTGTGAACCGGTAGTTGTTGGTGGATTTTTTTCTCTCTTTTCATGTAACCTCTTTTTGGGAAATGATGAATGCGAAACATTTTCTTTCAATCAAATTCCAAAGAAAGATAATTACAAAGATTATATACAACAATTACACTAGCCTTTTCTTCTAATAACATAAGCCTAACAAATTGTAACTAAATAACTAACTTTTCTAACAGGTAATTGTACTACCGTAAACTTTTAACAGACTTAACTGAAAAAGGATTTTTCATTAATAACTTAACTCCATCACCCCCCCCCCCCCCACCCCCCACCTTAAGATGGAGCCATAAAAATTGTTTAAAGGACCATCTTGGATATAATGGGCAAAAGCTTTGATCTTGGCAATGTTTTGGTTAGAATATCAACCGAGATTGAGTACCAATAGGCATAAGGTGAATAGTGTTATCAATCACTTTGTCACGAATGAAATAGCAGTCAATTTCTATATGTTTACTACATTTGTGAAAGGTGGGATTGTTGGCTAGTTGTATGGCAGAATTATTATCACAAAAGATCAATGATGAAGAAGAAGGTATGAACCAAAATCATGTAGAAGATGTCTGAGCCATGTAAGTTCGCTAGTAAGAACAACAATGGCACGATACATTGCTTCTGTTGAAGATCGAGACACAATCGTTTGTTTCTTAGATTTCCATGAAATCAAAGAATCTCATAGGAAGACCCGGATTTTGTTTGATGAATCGTAAAAGATGATGAATAGCTGGTAAATATGGTTGCTTGGGATTAGTAACATCATACTCGTCGATTTCCTTAAGCTCCTTGTCAAAGACATATTCCTTGTCCTTATAGCGTGTGACCATCCTTATGTTCCTAATCCAGTCATTGAAATTAGTTCCATCAAAGATGACTCTCCCACAAAGATTCATGAGAGAGAAGGAGCCTGTTGGGTTTGAGCCAGTAGCGGCATAGTTGGAAGACATCTGAAAAGGAAGAAAGACAAGTTTAGATTAGATAAATAGAATCCTTAATAAGACACCCAAATGAAGTATTAAAGTCAGGACCCAACACAATATTTTATAACTTGGAAGAGAGATGCCGTAATCCAAGCTACAAAATATTTGAAGGTAGGTAAATGACGATTTACCAATTTCCACCACGGAAAAACAAAATAGATTATTAAGTTTTAATTGGTTTGAAAACTCCTAGATCTTTTGAGATTCATTGAACAATTCAATGGCATGTTAAAATCTCGAATATACCCTTCAAGTTTGTGACTAGGATACCGAGGATCACAAAACAAGGTGTGAATAACCATGCAAATTAACTTGGTACTCTTAACTTTATTACCTAATCGAGGTGTCGGTTAACCACACACGCTCTACCAATCTATAATAAATATTAAGCCACCCTTACTAGTCAATGTTAGTGTGTCGGTTAACAACACACGCTCCATTAAGGACTTGGTAATGGTACTAAGTGTAATTTCATGGGTTAACATCAATTTCACATTTTCCTAAATTAACTAAAATTGGGAATTTATAAAAGTTTAGTTACTGTATAATTATCATTATACTTTTAATGAAGGGAGAATTATAGTTCTATCTTACCTGTTCGGCTAATGACCCTCCACCAGTCAAGGAAGCGGTGGGTGAGAGTGGACACCCATTAAGCTACCATTTTATAGGCAACAACCTTATACCCCCCCCCCCCCCCCTTTATAGACCGACTTCGTGAATGAGGCCAACTAACGGTAAGATTGACTTGTTCTTATATATATATATATATATATATATATATATATATATATATATATATATATATATATATATATATATATATATAACTTATAATATTATAAAGTATAAGGGTTGAATTTTAAACTTTTAAAATTCTAGGGTTTGGAGTTAAAGTTTTCTAAAGTGACTTTACAAATTCCAAAACTTGAGGGTAAGTTTTATAAGTATTCAAAACATTTCATTTCTATAACTTATGAGTTTTAAAGGCTTTAAACGGAAGAGACTTTTGGAATTCCATAACTTGAGGACAAGTTATGGAGTCCATTATGAAGCATTTAGATCAACAATTACCTAACAAACAATTTGCAAATAATTCCTATGATCTAACAAAAACTCATAAGCAAGGAACATCCATATCAACAATTTTCAATTATCATATGAACTTAATATAAAACTTGAAACTTTGACAATTATCATTGAAATTGGATAAGCACAATCATTACCACATCAAAAACAGGTTTAACAATCTAAAAACAGTTTAGGGTTATGATCCTAGTCCAATTCCAGCAATAATGTGACATCCCCAAAATCACGGCCAGAAAAGACTGGTTTCATTTATGCTTTTTAAACTAATTTCAAAGTAAATCCTTTTGATTTAAAAGTGTTACGGAATTTGTTCCCAAAACAAAACATGATAAAATAATATTTATCAAAGCATTTCATCAAGAGATGCTTTATATAATCAAAATTCGGGATGTCATGTTCCGATACAGACCATAAAGCATAAACGATAACATTACAAGTCATTCAACAAATATATACATATACAGACTTGTAAACAAAACAACTCGATGATTCATCCATTTTACGCCCTTGCGCCACTTCCTGTAATACATATAAAACTGAGTGGGTCAGGCTTGGGAGCTTGGTGAGCATATAGGGTTTTCAACCCACAATAAATAAATTATATTTAATTTCACCAACCAATCACTATCCCGATTACCCATTCCCGTTATCCTCACTTTACGTCCCTAAAACAACATCTATCTCAAGGGACCTAATCTCAGATTTTCATCGGGACGGACATTACTGCTAAGGGGTTTCCTCAACAATAGATATCCTAAAGGCAACCATGAGGGGGATAGAGTACACCGGTGAACACATCGTTCACAACACCTACAAGTTATGAACCTGCTAGCGTTCCACAAGATTGTCTAGAAGGAGTATGTGGTCATTATCCATACTCCGCTGAATAACTAGGTCAACAACAACAACATCGAGGCCTCTCATCTGTTTATTACCCACCAACTATCTACCCATGTTCTACCCAACATATTAGTAGATAAAAATATATATTTTTATACATAGTTTAAAACCTGTATAGCATTTTCATTCAATATATATTCCACATAACAGATGAGACACACCCACATAACACGTATTTCATAGAAAATAAATCAGATCTATGAGACAGAAGAGAATGAACATACATTCACACATATAACAACAATATTATACACATAACACGTATTTTGTATAAAATACTTCATAATTATGCGTTAGAAGAAAGTAACTACACACTCACTTGATTAGAAGATGATCGGACAGCACTACGGCATGCAGAAGTAGAAATCCTCAGCAGATCTGGAAGATCTCTACAAAAATCGAACTTCTTGTGGGCAGAGCTTCGGCTCGGGAATCGCACTTCTCGGGATCTTCGGGCTTCGGGACTTGCTTCGGGGCTCGGGAATATTACCGGGGCTTCGGGGTATTTCTGGCATGCAAAACGATGCAAAACGGGATAAAGAAGAGAGAAAAAGAGCAAAAGAACTAGGCAGCCTCGCATCCTATTTATAGGAGGCTGGAGCCTCGCCGTACATTGGGCGTACGCGTCCGAATCGTCATGGCGTTCTTCATCCGAAGAACTCGAGTGCGAGGGACGTCCCCTTCGGATAAGGCCGAATTTCATAATTAAATTTAAATATTAATTATTTAGTAAACTTTGAAAAATTATATCTTCTTCATACGAACTCCGTTTTCGATGTTCTTTATATCCACGCGTAGGTGAGACTACGCTCTACAACTTTCGTTTAGACTCCGTCGGCTAATTTTGACTTTATTTTTATTAATTATTTTTAATAGGCCGGGACAGAAAATTTCCGTTATAAATTCATAACTTCTTCATCCGACGTCCGTTCTCACCTAACTTTTCATCGCTTTGATACTAAAAACGAGATCTTCGATTCTCGTTTAGATTGCTTCGGCTAAAAACCGCTCGATCTCAAATCGAGTATTTCGGGCTGCATACCGCTAAGTCGAAACTTCAATAAATCATAACTTCTTCATACGAAGTCAGATTTTGGCGTTCTTTTTATGCACGCTCTCGATTTAACAAACTCTACGACTTTCGTCTAGATCCCTAAGGCTAAATATCGCTCTAACGTAAATTTCACTTTTTACGTCATTCAGTGTTGTCGGTTCTGTCGCGAAACTTCGACAGGTCATAACTTTTTCGTTATAACTCGGATTTCGGCATTCTTTATATCTTCGGAAACCTCGTTTCAACTACTACAACATTATATAAAGATATCAAGTTTATTTTACACTTAAATTTTGACGCTTATTTTTATTCTTAATTAATCAAACCACATAATTAAGCAATTAAGCACAAAACACATAATACTCAAATAATACACTTCTATTATTTCAAAACGGGTTACAAAGGTTAACCTAGACTATTATATCAACATTAATGACAGGCCCAAAAACACAGGCGTTACAATTCTCTCCACCTTAGAATGATTCCGTCCCCGGAATCACACATCAACAAACCAATGCGGATAGCGACCCATCATGTCACTCTCTGTC